TATTCTTGACATTATTCTGTGACTCACTTGGTTTGACGGAAAATGAGATCAATGCTTTGATGCCTAAAGATTTTGATTCTTATACTTGTTTTATCAAGTTTGAGAAGATCTTTATGACTTCGGCAAATAATCGAGTTTCGCTCTGAAGTTTCGCAGATATTTTCTAACCGCATGATTGCGACGAGAGATGCTGTATATTCCTCGAGATTATTTCCCAGACAGTTTGGATCAGTCTTTAGCGTTTAGACGGTTTTTAGATTGTCGTTTGCTTTTGGGATGATTTCGACGAGGCGTTGCATCGTTCTAATATTTTTCCGCTTATTTTAGAAAGCGTTTTCTTGATGCGAGGAAAAATGTTCGGCGAAAGAAGAAAGACGAGTTTCGTTTGAAGGATTGGGATGATCGACAATCCGGGTCGATTAAAGACCATGGTGGATCGGAGATGACTTGGAGTATGTCTGATTTACGAGAACTTCTAGGAGCGAGTTGGTTTTAAGACGACGTCAGCGTCTCTAGCTCCTTCTTTCTTTTAGGAAATGAGTACATTCAAATGCGTGGCGATCGTTTCTCGGTTGTACGAGAGATTGGATCTTTTGCGAGTTATGCCTTAGTTTCATCGATGATTTGGGATCGTCTATTCTTCGTTCTTCGTCTTTTGACTTACCGATCTTCGACAAATTACCGGCAAGAGTATCGGAGCGGGGAGAAGACTTAACCATCGGAGCTCATGTTCTTCTTTCTTCGTACTGCTGGTTTTATTTGGCCGACTAGGTTCGCTTCGTATATCGAAAAAATCAATCACGTGTTTATGATTGGATGTTTTCGACTTAGCGTGGCAGAGTTTCGTAAAACCGGATTGGGTTTAGAGAGTTCAGATTTCTCGTATAGTTTAGGCAACTTTGGCGTTAATTCAACCGTTGCCGTTTTAGACGATTGATTCGTACTTATACGAAGAAACAAGTCTTTGCGGTTTTGTCGTAAAATCCCGATGAAAATTCCGATTGAGACGAAACGAGAATCAGCTCGATCAAGACTCGAGAGAGAAACTCAAGGATTGGTTCAGCTCGACGTAGGGCAAGTCGGGTGAACCCTTTCAGCTCGCTGTGTGGAGATCTGGATGGTAAGAACCCTTGGGGCGAAGTCAGCGTCTCTTGGGCGAGCCAGGCGCTTGGTTCAGCTCGCTGTATGGCGAGCTAGCTAGCTCTACGTTCAGCGAGCTAAGACGCTTGGCGCGGGTGATCTCGATTCGTCGGGTTGACTTGTTTTCGTCGTAGAATCTCAACGGAAAGTCCGATTGAGACGAAATGAAAAGCGAATCGATCAAGATTCGAGATGGAGATGTTTCGATCCGTCGAGCTTTTCAACTTGCCTAATGGTGAGTCGGCGAGCACAGTCCCAAATCATCAAGCTATCTTGTTTTCGTTGTAAAACCTCAACGAAAACTTTGACTGAGACGAAACGAAAAGCAGTGCGATTATTGTTTAGAGTACGGTCCGGCTCACCATAGCTATGAGTTGGATTGTGCGGACCCTCGGGGAAAAATTAATTCCTCTGGGACGAGGTGGAAAGCCGGTCAGCTCGCCAAGATGGCAAGCTAGGTTGCTTGGCCAATTCACCGTCTTTTCGGCTGGACAGTATTGCCCGATTCTGCGAGTAGCCTACGGTTCTTCCTAGAGTAACCTAGGGTTTTGTCGCGAATAACCTAGGGTTTTTCCGTGAGTAATCTAGGGCTTTCTTCGCGAGTAACCTAGGGCTTTCTCCGCGAGTAACCTAGGTCTTTCCGCGATTAACCTAGGGTTTTGTCGCGAATAACCTAGGGTTTTTCCGTGAGTAACCTAGGGCTTTCTCCGCGAGTAACCTAGGGCTTTCTCCGCGAGTAACCTAGGGTTTTTCCGCGAACAACCTAGGGTTTTTCCGCGAATAACCTACGGTTTTTCCGCTAGTTTCCTAAGGATTTTTCCGTGAACAGCCTAGGGTTTTCCGCGAGTATCCTAGGATTTATTTCGCGAGTAACTTACAGTTTGTTCCGCGGTTTCTGGGAGAGCAAGTTTTACTTTTCCGAAAGGTTCTCGGAAAACATCTTTTGCTTAACGCATGAGCTTTGTCCAACTCGGAAATAAGAAAAACACTATGGGGTTTGATAGATTTTATCGTTGCCCTTAGTGATCTGAGATAGAAGTCGTGAGCTTGTTTTGTTGCTCTTCCCGTGGCGAAGAGTCGCGATTAGGTTTTCGATTTTGTTGAGTACTACAGCGTTTGCGTGAGCGTTGGCTGTAGGAGCAGTCGCTGACGGAGTTGTTTTACCAGCGTCTTTTTGCGAGTTGCGACTTTGTCTTTCATACATCCAGACATCGTTTTGGTCATGCGTTTTGCGGCTATGAGTAAGAGTAATCCGACCCCCCCTCCTTCTAGCGCCAAACTGTGGGAACCAAAATTCACACTTGTCGATATCCGTTAAATAAGGAAACTTAGGAAAAACCTAATTTTCCAGAGGAACCACATCTCTGCGAAAGCCAACGGCAAGTAACCAAATAAATGCAGAAAAATATGAAAACGTAATAAAACGAATTTAAAGAAAAAGTAGATCTTATTTCGATTTCGCTTAAGAGCGTTGCGATCATTACAAGGGTTTAAAAAGGCTTTGGCCGCAGGGCCGTCGGCGAGTTATCAACATAAAAACCTTAAACCTAATCGAGTCGCAGCTCGATAACAAAAGACGGAAAAAGATAAGAAAAATGATTTGATTGATTTCGGACTGAACCTTATGAAAGGCTGTCTACGTACCCCTTTCGAGGATCAAGTCGAATGTAGTTCAGTTGATTGAGCTGGACAAGAGATCGAACTGCCTGGGCGAGTTCGTCTCGTGATTGGGCGCCAGTCATAGAAACCGAACTTGTCGAGAAAAAGCCTAAGTTTCTAAGTGCGGAAAATTCTAAGTCTAGAAAAGTTGTGAAAGTCTCAGATGAGAGCTCTGGATTTCGTCCCTTTGCTTCTGCCCTGTGCCTCTTGCTTATATACTCCCTTCCTAGGCGGTTTAATCTTTCCATTTCGCCCAGATTCGAGTTTAATGGGAATCTTCCATTTATCTCGATCTTTCTTTTTTTCCCGCAGAAATCTTCTATTTATTCTCAAACTTGACATTTATTTTCAAGTTTGACATTTATATTATTTCTGCGAGTAAATCGCCAAAACGTCGTCGTATCTTCGGGTTGGACTTCGTTTAAGGTCGCGAGTGGCTTTTATCGCGTTTTATGACTTTCCGAGCCGTTTTGCGATAAATCCGTTTTACAACTTTAGACGAGATCGTTTCCTGATACGATGCCGTTTTTAGATAAGTTTCTCGAGTTAATCGTAAAGCTAAGCAATGTTCGATGTTTCGATTAATCGTTGCCGTTTTCTACGATTTAATCGGGGTTTTATTAAAAACGCGTTTTGTACGATTTTTACGAAAAATCTTTTCGAGAAAACAAGGTTTTACGGTTTTTATCGTAAAACTCGAACGATAGGACGGATCGAGACGAAACGGGAGACATTTCAACCGTGATTCGGAATACGATCGTGTCGAAGGACGTATGCCTTGAATCAAGGATGTGGGAGATCGAGGCTCGGGATGGTCGGCTCGACGTACGGCGAGCTAGTTCAGCTTGGCCAGGTCGCCATATGGCGAACTAGGCGATAAGAACCTGTGGGGCAAAGTCAGCACCTCTTAGTTCGCCGTTGGGGAGTCTCTAGTTCGCCTGCTGGCGAACTAAGCCAGCTTGGCTTAGTTCGCGAGCAGGCGAACTAGTCGGGAGGTTCCTAGTTCGACTGCTGGCGAACTAAGCCGAGCTGGCTTAGTTCGCTAGCAGGCGAACTAGTTGGGAAGCTCCTAGTTCGCCAGCAGGCGAAGTAGTCGTGACTAGTTTGCGTTTTGCGGCGGTTTCGGTTTTTCGCGATTTTGTAAAACGTTTCTCGAGTTTTAAAAAAAAGATCTTCGAGTTTTATAAAATGATTCTCGAGTTTTATAAAATGATTCTCGAGTTTTATAAAACGATTCTTCGAGTTTTTATAAAACGATCTTCGAGTTTTATAAAACGATTCTCGAGTTTTATAAAATGATTCTCGAGTTTTATAAAACGATTCTCGAGTTTTATAAGACGATTCTCGAGTTTTATAAAACGATTCTCGAGTTTTATAAAACGATTCTTGAGTTTTATAAAACGGTCTTCGAGTTTTATAAAACGATTCTCAAGTTTTATAAAACGATTCTTCGAGTTTTATAAAATGATTCTCGAGTTTTATAAAACGATTCTTCGAGTTTTATAAAACGAATCTTGAGTTTTAAAAAATGATTCTCGAGTTTTATAAAACGATTCTCGATTTTTATAAAACGATCCTCGAGTTTTATAAAACGATTCTCGAGTTTTATAAAATGATTCTCGAGTTTTATAAAACAATACTCGAGTTTTATAAAACGATACTCGAGTTTTATAAAATGGTCTTCGAGTTTTATAAAACGATTCTCGAGTTTTATAAAACGATTCTTCGAGTTTTATAAAACGATTCTCGAGTTTTATAAAACGATTCTCGAGTTTTATAAAACGATTCTTCGAGTTTTATAAAACGATTCTTCGAGTTTTATAAAATGATTCTCGAGTTTTATAAAACGATTCTTCGAGTTTTATAAAACGATTCTCGAGTTTTATAAAATGATTCTTCGAGTTTTATAAATCGATTCTCGAGTTTTATAAAACGATTCTTCGAGTTTTGTAAAACGATTCTTGAGTTTTATAAAACGATTCTCGAGTTTTATAAAACGATTCTTCGAGTTTTATAAAACGATTCTTCGAGTTTTATAAAACGATTTCTTTTATATTTTCTGCGGAGACTTTTTGCCATTGATTTCGTTGTGACCGATTTTGACACCAACACTCATGATCATCTCTATACATAGCATCCACATCCTATAGGGGACACAGAAACAGAGTATTAAAATTTATTCTCATATATTTAACTTTAAATTAGATGGCTGGATGCGTATTGAACATCACCTTGTCAGTTGGCAGATCGATATCGCGTGGTTTGACGTGTGAAGGCTCAACACCGCTCTGATGTGTGGGAGGAACATTCTATAAGCAGAAGTGACAGGGACAATAAGAAACTAATAGCAAAGACTGTAAGAGTTTGTTAAATCCTGATACCTGTTCTTCCAAATGAGATGTCCGATGCTTCTTGGTACGAGATAGCAGTGTGTGAAATGATGATTTTCTTGCATGAGCTTTTCTCTTCATCTTCTTTATAAAATTTTTCATCTGTCTCATCTGCTTCTGAAGTTCCAACACAATCTCTGTAAGTTGTACGTTTGGATTTGTCGGACACAAAAAGCAACAGAGATTTGTCCGAACCATAGTTAATTCCTATATGGTTAAGACAACTAGTGTCTGGTATAATACAAGGGGAAAAAAGACATTCATCAAACATGATGTGTTCCCCCAAGTGGGAAGTTTCTTATAAGGTAAATCAGAAGAAAAAATGTGTCTTACAAGGTAAAAAAATCATTAAAAAACTGAAGCATATATCTGGTTTTGTGGATTCGGTCTTCATATTTACTAATGCGAGTTGTTGTGCAATTGCAGTGTAACTAAATGGTTAAAACGATGAGTATCATATTGTTCGATTGGTACACACGATTAGTGATGATGTGAACGTGGCATTTATTGCAAATTTATTTATTTGTTAGTTTAGTGTCATATATATATGTATATATATTTGAATATGACACTTTACTAAATCCCGTCAAGTCATTATATCATCATAATAAGTGTAGTCTTTTCAAAGGGTACATATCATATGCACGATATAATGGAACAAAAAATATCCCAAACTAAGATAATTCATCTGGCAAGTTAGACGGGTTTGGAAAACTGATTAGCACATCAGGTTCAATTTTTTTTTTTTTAGATATACTAAGGATTTTGCCCGGGCTACGCTCGAATTTATACAATAGCATTGTATTTGATATTTATATAAGAATATAATACTTTTATGTTATAATACAATAAATAGTAAATTAAATAATAAATGAGTAAACTCACAATTTTTTTTTATTATCTAAAATATGTGTGAGATAATATACAAATGTGAAATGAATGAAGAATTTATTAAACCTTAGTTATTATCCAAAACATTTTTTCTTACATATTAGGTTCTTATGAGAATATATTATTGATCTACACTTCACATATTTATTTGTCATGTGTATTACTTTTTATCATGTTTAGGTTTTTATTTATATTTTTTTAATCTTTTATAATATATTTCTTTATGATTATAATCTATTTTTACAATTATAATAAATAAATTTAATATAAATACTCATTTCTTTAAATAAAACAAATTTCAATGTTGTATGTGTTATATATAATGAAAATTCTATGAAAATATTATTATGTATCATATTCTATGAAAATATTATTATGTATTATAAACAAAAATTATCTTACAATCCAGCTATAGTAAAAATATTCTGGATTATAATTCAATGTAAAAAGTTAATCAAAATATACTCAATAGATATTCACAATTAAGGCTGAGCAAATAAACCGAATCCGAAAACCCGAACCGATCCGATAAAAATTAATCCGAACCGATCCGACCTGACATAAATACCGAATAAATTTTGTTTTATGGTATTTTGGGTTATGGGTGTTATCCAAATCAAACCTAAATGGATATCCGATAGAACCCAAAATATTCAAAATCTCAAAAAAAAATTATACCAACATGATTTCAGTTCCTAATTTATATCCAAAATACTTTAAGATATTATTGGACATGTAAAATAATTATTTTACATGAAAGTTGATGATTGTAGATGGTAGTTGAAGCTTAATATTTTTTTTTATTTTGACTCTATTTTCACTGAATAATGTTTTTTATTTCATGAGAATTTGGTTTTCGTATTATGTCTTCATTTATTTGGTTTTCTTCTAATAGTAACTATGTTTACCTTTCGTTTGATTTTGAAAGATCACGTTTGATGTTCTTTTTTATTATTTTTGAATCAATTTTACTTATATTTTAGTTACAAAATAGGTATAAATCATGTACTTTAAATTCAAAGAATCAGTTTTACTTATGTTTTGGTTACAAAGTAAGGACAAATAAGATATTATTAAACCAAAGAACCGATTGGGACCCAAAACCGAAAATATAATGGGTTATACCGGTTCATTAAAATTTACTAAGCCCTACCCGAACCTGATAAAACCCGAACCAATTGCGTACCGAAAGTATAATGGGATTTTGAATATATTTTCAGTCCAACATTATGATCCAAAAACATCATTTCATAATTTTTTTCCCTTTCAAGTAAAATCTTGTACTAATATCAAGAATTGAAAATATTTTTTTTTTCTAATTAATTGGACATAGCCTTATATTTGTATTTCCTTTTATTTTTTAGTGATCTAGATGATTAGTTTTTCTTTGCTTACTTAGAGTTAAAGTTAATATTTTTATTTTTAAACTTTCTCTATTTTCTGTGAACCGATATTTTTTTTGTGCAACCTGTGAACCAAAATTTAAAAACATTTGCTGGATTAGAAAATAAACAATGCAATTTAGACATCTAATAAAGAACGTACAATTTAGATTCTGAGATGCCCCTACTGATTACTACTTAACATTCTATCTAACACTAAATGAAAAGAGATATGAAAGGTCAATGAGTAAAGAAAATATGTTTAGGCCATGTCTGGCACATGATTTTATAATAAGATAGCTGTCTTGATAACTTTCAAACTTCCTCTGCCGCTTGATAGTACGTGAAAACATATCTACTATATCAGCTTTCTTAATGTATCACTTCATCCAAAGAGTTATAGATCGCTAGGAAATAATTAGACAGCTTGAGATAAGCATTTCGATTGTACATAGCACCATCAGAGTTGAGAACAGCCTGTGACAAACGCATATCGAACTTTCATGATGAATGAAAATAACTGACTTAGAAAAATTAGAACTTCTATTTCTGTGGACACAATGGACAAATGAATGTCGTTGCCATACCTTTAAAACTTGGAATAAGTCATCATATCTTTTTCTGTTGCTATCTTAAGTACGTATAGGAATAAGTCATCATATTCCCTTAACAATTGTGGTCTCTACAGGAAAACAATGTATTGAGTCAGTCAAGAATATATACAATGACTGATATGGTTCAGTAAACCTACCTTAGAGCTCCAATCAACATCAACCACTTGTCGCCAGGAGAGCCTTTGTAGTTAATAATTTGATTGTTTGCCAAATAAGATTTCTAACAAACATCTTAACGTCAGAATCACCAGGAAATGTTGGAGAAGAATGGTACTACGTACGTATAACGATATTAGAAAAAGTATACAGCATGAAAGGTAAAAGAATAACAAAACGTTTGTTTCGATGCTCACCTACTCAGGCATCTGATGCGATTTCAAAGAACGTTAAGATATAGTTTATAAATTATGATCTGGTTTCCTCTTATTCAATGGACTGGGACAACATCTCGGAATAATACCTCAGCAGCCAGCATGATTGTCTTTGTAGAGATGTTATGAATCGATGATCTTATTCAAGTTAATGTACAAAGTATTTATACATGAGCTCTTGCTCTAGAGATAAACACAGATCTTTACAAGATAATGACTAATCCTAAGATAATGAGTAATAGGAAGATAATCCTTATCTATACTAACATGCCCCCTCAAGATGGACGTCGCTTGCAAAGTCCAATCTTGGAAATCAATGTTTCAAACTGCGTTCGTGCCAACGGTTTAGTCAGAGCATCAGCCAATTGATCTACAGAACTGATATGTGTTACACGAAGGTTCTTGGCTTGCACTTGTTGTCGAACAAAGTGATAGTCCAGTGCAAGATGCTTCATTTTTGAGTGAAACACATGATTGGCCGATAGATAAGTAGCACCAATGTTGTCACAGTAAAGAACATGAGTATTAGATGACTTGAGACCGAGTTCAGACATAACCATCTGTACCCACATTAGTTCAGCTGCAGCTTCTGTTAAGGCATGGTATTCAGCCTCAGTAGACGATCTAGCCACACCATCCTGTTTCTTAGCTGACCATGATATAGGCTGTCTCCCAAAATAAACAATGTATGCACCGGTGGAGTTGTAGTCATCATGATCTCCAGGCCAGTCAGCGTCAGAGTACGCATGAAGATTGAATGGTGTTGTAGCTGAGAAGAAAATGCCCTTGTCTGCAGTGCCAATGAGATGTGCCATCATGATCTCCAGCCCAGTCAGCGTCAGAGTACTCTCTTAGCTGCCTCCCAATGTACTGAAGTTGGTTTGTGCATAAACTGAGACACACGATTGACCGGAAAAGCAATGTCAGGCCTTGTAAGACCTAAATACTGACGACTCCCAACAATAACTCTATACTCTGTTGCATCAGCTAAAGAATCACCAGAGTTGAGAGTAAGCACTTGCGAGGAGGACATTGGTGTGGCGACTGGTTTAGCATCCTCCATTTTAGCTCGTCTTAGAAGATCAGTAATGTATTTCGTCTGAGTGAGATGAAGACCCTTATCTGTTCTTGTGGCTTCCATACCAAGAAAGTAAGACAGATTACCAAGTTCTTTAAGTGAGAATTTTGCAGCAAGTTTAGTAGTAACTTCCTGCAGTTTCTGCAACTTAGAACCTGTTATAACAATGTCATCAACATAAATAAGTATGTAGATGCAGGAGGAGCCAGTCTGAAGAATGAACAAAGACATGTCCGCAAGAGAATTTTTAAACCCAATGGTGAGTAAAAAATCCTTTAAGGCTTGATACCAAGCTCGAGGAGCTTGATTTAAGCCGTCACAGCCTTCTTGAGTCGCCATACATGATGTGGCTTGTCCTTGTCAATCATTCCAGGTGGTTGTTGCATGAAGACTTCTTCATCCAGAGGACCTTGTAAAAATGCATTATTCACGTCGAATTGAAGAAGAGGCCAACCATTAGCCACTGCTGTTGCTAAGACAAGACGTATAGTAGCATGTTTCACCACTGGACTAAATGTCTCATAGAAGTCAATGCCTGGTCTCTAATGATTGCCTTTGGCAACAAGTCTAGATTTGTAGGCTCTGACAGAGCCATCTGGATTTCTTTTGATACGAAACAGCCACATATTGCCAACTATATTCTTTGCTTGAGATCTTTCAACAAGATCAAATGTATCATTACGGATGAATGCATCAACCTCATCACTGATGGAACGTCTCCACTTTTCATCTTTGAGTGCTTACACATGATTAGCAGGTTCAACTTCTTGAAGAATTGCAGATAAGTCATATTTAGGATTAGGCTTGCGTATGTTGTTCTTGACTCTAGTGATCATAGAGTGACTGTTTGGCTCAGCAGATG